CATAGAATTGATGAAGGAAAAATGGTGAGTGGTGCATTGAAGTATATGTGGAGGCAAAAACTGTTATCTATGGAGGCAAAGAAGGGAATGCATGAAAGTATAGTAGTACCAACACTCTTATATGGGTGTGAAGCTTGGGTTGTAAATGCTGCAGCGAGGAGACGGTTGGAGGCAGTGGAGATGCCCTGCAAGGGGGCAATGGTGGTGAAAATATTATGCAAAAAATTCGGAGTGTGGAAATTGGAGAAGTGGGGGTTTAGTAAAAGTATTAGTCGTGGGCTGAAGGGGGTTTTGTTGAGGTGATCTGGTCATTTAGAGAGAATGGATCAAAGTGGAATGACTGGAGGGTTATAAAACTGTAGGGGGGAAGGGGCGGTTGGGAGGGGTCGTTCTCAGAAGGTTGGAGGGAGGGGGTTAAAGGAGGTTTTGTGGGCGAGGGGTTTGGATTTCCAGCAAGGGTTTGCGTGGGCGTTTTAGGAGTGAATGGGGGACGAATGGTTTTTTTGGGCCCTGGCGAGCTTTTGGGTGTAAGCAGCGTTTATTTAGTGAAGGGATTCGGGGGGAAAAACCGGTTATTTTATATAATTTGGAAAACTTGGGGTTTTGGGAAAATTTGGGAAGTAAAATGCCTGCGTTTTAAAAGGGAAAGGGGTTTTGGGGTTTTTGGCATTTTTGGAAGTTATATTGTGTATTTTTATTGTATTTTTTTTCTATACCTCTGAAAAAAAACAGTGATTATGTGGGGTTTTGAGGGGAAAATTTTTGAATGTTTGAAAGTATTTTTTTTTTGGGGGGGTTTTTCTTTTTTTTGGGTCACCCTGCCTCGGTGGGATAGGGCCGGCCCCCTACCCCCATTTTCCCTTTTCCCCTACAGATTTAAAACGCTCTCCATGTCATTCTATTTTTGATCCATTCATGATTTTTAAAATATATATTTTTAAAATACTTTATATATATTATATATATATATATTTATATTTTATATATATTTATATATATATAAATATATATATATATATATATATATATAACGAATAGGCAATCTGGGACCCCCACGATCCCTTGTTACCTTCTCACAAAGTGCTTGGTCTGCCCGGGTTTGACATATTTCCAAAGATGTGCACCTTCATATGAAAACCCTATACTGCACAAATATGACAGTTTTTCTGAGGCAGTTTTTTTACGAAAGTACTTAACCTTACTCTAGAAGACGGGCGGGGGAAACCCAACCTAAAATTCCAGTCGGGACTAGGAGGCTTTGGGTTTGCCCGGGCAAGTTTTCACGGGATTGCGTTCCTGTTTTCGCCCCTCGGTATTCCCATCCAGAGAGTTTGTAACAGCGTTTCTCCCTGAAACATCTTGGGGGACAAAAATTGGGGGTCCGGGGACCAAAAATTCTTTAAAGGGGAGAAATTTGATCTGGGAAAATTAAGGGTTTCTAAAAAACCAGCCCCTTGTTTCCCCCCCAACAACTAAAACAATCGCACTGGGAGGGCCCAATTTAGTGGAAAATATTGCCTCAACAATGCTTCGGGAATTTGTGTCAGGGAAGGTTTAGAGCCCGCCCCCTTTGGAAGTGAAAACCCCCTAATGTGGGGGACTTTCTTTTTGGCCCTTTTCCCAACTCCCGGTTTGGGGCACACGCCTTGACCACAGCCCCATCCGCTTTGGGTGTTCCCCCTTCGACTTCCCGCCCCTATTCTCCCCAAACCCACGGGTTGTATTTTGTGGCAGTGAAACAAGGAAACCGGGTTCGGGTACCCTGGTTTGTGAGCCTCACAAACAGCTGGATGCCCAGCAGTAAGGGAGCCAAACCCCCAAATATGGGAGATTGATGACAGCCAGAAGCGTCCAGATGGTACCCCCCCCTGGCGGAAAGGGGATTGGGTTCCCCTTCAAGTCCTTACCTTTGGGAACCATTTTTTAAAGGGGGGGGGGGATTTTTTGGGGGTTGGGGACCAAAATTGCAAAATTAAAAATTGGGCCCCCATTTTATTTTTCCCCCTTCCCAAGGGAGGAAGGGGGGGCCCCGGGCCCGGGTTAAGGGGGGGGTGACATTTATTTTTTTCCCCCCTTTTAAAGGGAGCTGGGGGAAAAAGGGGCTCATCAGGGTAATAGGGATCCCCGGAAGCTTGTTTTTGTTTTCCCGCGGGGTCCCGGGGCGCTGTTTTAAAGGGGTAATGCCCCGCTGCTTTTGGGCACAAAGCCAGCCTGAGGAGCTAGAGGGGATTTTTTTGCCCTATAAAACGGTGATACACCGTAAAAACAAGTACCGTATATGCCACCTTTTTATTAACCAGTATCTCTTAAAACTTTGTGCCATATTATGTTTAAATTTTTTCCTATTGGTTTAAAAAAAAATTTGTTTTAAAAAATGGGGGGGTTTGGGGAAAATGGAATATTCAATTTCCCCGGGTTCAGGAAGAAATCCAAATATTCCCCCTTGAAGGCCCTTTTTACCACTTTCCGAGGGGTATGGGTGCCACAATTTACACCAGAGGGGGGACCCATCCTATATTTTATTTATATATATATATATATTTTTATATATATTTTTATAAATATATATATATATTTTTTAAAATTTTATTATATATTTTATATGCAAAAAGGGTCCCCAGGGAAACAGGGGGATTTTAAAATATGCAAAACCCAAACCCTGTAAAAAGTAGTGGAAAAATTTCCCAAACCGGGTTTCGTGACTACTCCTTTTTCAAGGAACTATTTAAAAAAATACATCAAAGGAAGGGCCCCTTAAAGGGTTAGGGCCCCACCTTTACAGTCCCAACTCCAACAACAAAGAAACACCTGACGCGGGACAATACCGGACTTTAAGAAAAGAGGAACACTGCAGTAGGTCCGCTGGTCCATCTAGACAGGTCCTCACGACAACCCACCAACAAATCATTCTACTCAAGAAATAAGGTTTATTATTTGTCCAATGTATTATTAAACTCTAACCAAATTTTATTAATTATAAATGAATCTAATTTATACAAACCTAAGGAAATATTCATATTACTTTCAAAACTGCTTTTTATGAAACAAGATTCAATTATATTTATGTCAACCATAGACTTGCTTGATACAACTTTCTCAACTTTTTGAAAATCAATTGGATGGTTAAAATCTCTCACATGAATAAATAGAGCTTTGGAATCTTGTCCAGTTCTAATGCTATATTTATGTTGTTTTAATATAAGTTCGAGATTTTTACCAGTTTGACCGTAATAAACTTTATCGCAAATTTTACAAGGAATCTTATAGACACGTCCATCAGCATTTTGGGGGGAATTCTTTATCAAAAGTTTTTTTACTGTATCAAGATTTTTAAATACAACTTTAATATTAAAAGTCTTAAGAAGAGAAGGCATATCAATCAAGTTTTCATGGTAAGGGAGAACCAACATATTCTTAGTTGAATAAGGTTGGTTGTCCCTTTTTGGATTGTGAAAAGTATTTCTAGCAATTTTAAATGATTTACCAATTACATTTCTCGGGTATTTCAGATCATTGGCTATTTCATAAATTTTGGATATTTCTTCATCTATGAACTCTGGACTACAAATACGTAAAGTTCTCAAAAACATTGATGAGAAAACAGACAGTTTAACTTTATCTTGATGTGAAGAATAATAGTGTACATAGGAACAGTTATTTGTAGGTTTTCTGTAAATTTTAAATTTGAATTCATTATTCATTATTACACTGGACAAAATTCCAATGCTCTATTTATTCATGTGAGAGACTTTAACCATCCAAGCGATTTTCAAAAAGTTGAAAAAGTTGTATCAAGCAAGTCCATGGTTGACAGAAATATAATTGAATCTTGTTTCATAAAAAGCAGTTTAGAAAATAATATGAATATTTCCTTAGGTTTGTATAAATTAGATTCATTTATAATCAATAAAATTTGGTTAGAGTTTAATAATAAATTGGACAAATAATAAACCTTATTTCTTGGGTAGAATGATTTTGGTGGGTTGTCGTGGGGACCTGTCTAGTTGGACCAGCGGATACTGCAGTTGTTCTCTTTTTCTTATGAGTCCTGTATTGTCTGCGGTCAGGTGTTTCTTTGTTGCGGGAGTTGACTGTGAGGTGTGGTCTAAGCCCTTTAATTGCTATCCTTTGATGTATTACTTTAATTAGTTTCCTTGACAATGTGAAGTAGTCACGAAAGAGCTTGGAATTTCACTACTCTTTCACTAGTGGTTGTTTTGCATATATATATATATATATATAATATATATATTATATATATATATATATATATATATATATATATATTATATATTATATATATATATATATATTATATATATATATATATATGTCGTGCCGAATATGTAAAACTGGTCAATTAGCAAGAACTCATTTAAAATTAAGTCCTTTCTAACATTTTCTCTTATACGTTTAAAGATATATTTTTTTTCATTAACAGTAAAAAATTTTAATTTTGCACCTAAAGGAACTTAGAAAACTTACCTAACCTTATTAGAACAAGAACAATTTATTTTAGCCTAACCCAACTAAATATATTTTAAATTTGTTAACAATAATATAATACTAAACAAGCACAGTGAAATATATTTTTTTCGTTAGGTTAAGAATGATTTTGGCGAAATTATTGCATACACAAATTTTCGCTTGTCCTACATGGCAAGATGAGCGTTGCTATTTAAGCCAAGATCGCAAATTCTGCCTATTCGGCACGACATATATATATAATATATAATTATATATATATATATTATATATATATATATATATTATATATATATATATATATATATATATATATAACAGCTGTGAATGATTATATTAGAAGTTGATAAGTAACACAGATGTGCAGTCTCAGAATAAAGGTACCTTACTTTAGGACAGGTGTCTTAATTATCATATACAGATGTGATTGTCCTAGAGACTAAACCTATTTACCACATCGCCTCTTCCATAGTCTAGACTCTGCGTGAACGTAACAGTAATGGTGTGTTTGACAGGGTTGTCGCCGCTCTGGTGTTCTATGGACTATCCTCCAACTCTAGCAGTTTGGGTGGCAATATCTTTGTAGATTTCATCTCTACAATGCTGGTCGAGATTCCATCGTGCATTTTCGACATTCTGGCTCTGGACAGGTAAGATCTTCATTCATAGGGGGAGAGTGGAAAGGATAATATGTGACTTACCAGACGAAACAACGTTTAGAAAGTCTCAAAAATATAGATTATTAATACTGAAAATATTATGAGTGTAAAAATAACTATTGAAAGTTCATATACATTTTTTAAGTGTTTTCACATTCTTGATTTATTGAGTACAAAAAAAAAAATAAAAAGCTAGGCATTTGCAGTTCAGCAAGATCTTAGAAAACACGTCATTTATAGTAAGATAACTGATAATTTTTTAATGTCGAATGATGTATACCTGAGTTAAACCCACCTGTGTTATTCCATTCATGATTCACAACACTTAAACTCAGATTTAGAATAAATTATTTAAGCTCTAGCGAAACTCACTTTTATATTTCTTTCATTAATATACCCATTTGTGTGTCAAGGATCTAAACTGATCATAGAGGTCTCTAAGAGGTTATCTCTGTCATTGGCACAAAATATAAAAAAAATATATATGTATATATATATAAATAATAATATATAATAAATAATAATAAAAATAAAAAATCATAATTATTATTATTCTTTTATATTAATTATTATTATTATTATTTTTAATTATTATTATTATTTTATTATTAGCATTATTGTTTTATTTTAATATCACATTGGCCGTTTCCCACCAAGGCAGGGTGGCCTCATAAAGAAAAATTTTCATCATTATTCACTCCATCACTGTCTTGCCAGAGGCGTGCTTACACTACAGTTATAAAACTGTAACATTAACAACCCTCCTTCAGAGTGTAGACACTGTACTTCCCATCACCAAGACTCAAGTCCGGCCTGCCGGTTTCTCTGAATCCCTTCATAAATGTTACCTTGCTTACCCCCCAACAGCATGTCAAGTCCTAAAAACCATTTGTCTCCATTCTCTCCTATCTAACATGGTCACACACGCTTGCTTGAAGTCCAAGCCCGTCGAACACAAAACTTTCTTTACCCCCTCTCTTCAACCTCACCTAGGCCGATCCCTACCTCGCCCTCCCTCCACTACAGATTTATACACTCTCGAAGTCATTCTGTTTCGTTCCACTCTCTCTCTACATGTCCAAACCATCTCAATAATCCCTCCTCAGCCATCTAGATAATAGTTTTGGTAATCCCGCTCCTCTCAATCTCCAAACTACGGATTCTCTGAATTATATTCACACCACACATTGCCCTCAGACATGACATCTCCACGGCCTCCAGCCTTCTCCTTGTTCAACATTCACAACCCATGCCTCACACCCATAAAATGAGAGTTGTATAACTATATTCTCATACATTCCTCTCTTTGCCTTCATAGATAAAGCTCTTTGTCTCCACAGACTCCACAGTATACCACTCACCTTCTTCCCCTCGTTAATTCTATGATTCACCTAATCCTTCGTAGACTCATCTGCTGACACATCCACCCCCAAATATCTGAAAACATTCACCTCCTACATACTCTCTTCCTCTAATCTTCTGTTTCCTAAGTTTTTTGTTATCCTCATCACATTACACTTTCCTAAATTCACTTTTAATTTCCTTCTTTTACATACCCGACCGAACTCTTCAACCAATCTGTGTAACTTCTCTTCAGAATCTCCCAAAAGCACAGTGTCATCAACAAAGAGCAACTGTGACAATTTCAACTTTGTATTTGATTTTTCATCATTTAACTCCACACCTCTTGTCAACACCCAAACATTCACTACTCTTACAGCTCCATCTATAAATATATTGAACAACCATGGGACATCACATATTATTGTCTAAGACCTATTTTTACTGGGAAATATTCTCCTTCTCGCCTACTTACTCTAACCTGAGCCTCACAATCCTCGTAAAAAATTTTCACCCTTTCAATAACCTACCTCCTATTCCATATACCTGCAACATATGCCGCATTACTCCCCTATCCACCTTATCAAACGCCTTTTCCATAACATAAATGCCACAAAAACCTCTTTACCCTTATCTAAATACTGTTACCAATATGTTTCATTGCAAATACTTGGTCACACACCCTCTACCTTTCCTAAAGCCTCTTGTTCATCTGCTATCTTACTCTCCGACTCACTCTTAATTCCTTCAAAAATAACTCTAACATACACTTTACCAGGCATACTCAACAGACTTATTCCCCAATAATTTTTACACTCTCTTTTGTCCCAATTGTCTTATACAAAGGAACTATGTATGCTTTCTGCCAATTCCTAGGTACCTTACTTTCTTCCATACATTTATTAAATAAGAGAGCTAACCACTCCAAAACTATATCCCCTCCTGCTTTTAACATTTCTATATTAATCCCATCAGTCCCAGCTGCTTTACCCCCTTTGATTCTACTCACTGCCCTATGCACTTCCCCGACACTCACAACTGGCTCTTCCTCACTCCTGTAAGATGTTACTCCTCCTTGCCCTATACACGAAATCACAGCTTCCCTATGTTCATCAACATTTAACAATTCCTCAAAATATTCCCTCCATCTTACTGATACCTCCAACTCTTCATTTAAAATTTCTCCTCTCCTATTTTAACTAACAAATCCATTCTTTCCCTAGGCTTTCTAAATAAATTAATTTCACCCCAAAACCTTTTCTTATTTTCAATGAAATTTGTTGACAACGTCTCACACACTCTCTCATTTGCTCTCTTTTTACATTCCTTCACCACTCTCTTAACCTCTCATTTTCTATCCGTATCCTCCTCCTTCCTTGCATCACTTCTACTTTGTAAAAGCCTCTCACACACTGTGTAAGAGTCGTGTAGGTTGTTACTGTCATACCACACAGTGAGTGAGTCATATAGGTTGTTACTGTTAACCCACAGTGTAGAGTCATTAGTTGTCTGTTACCACAGTGTGTGAGAGTCGTGTAGGTTGTTACTGACTGTTATTCCACAGGCTGGGAAGGAAGGGCACGCTTTCATTATCGTATTTACTGGGTGGAGTCTCATGCTTCATAACCGGATTTATCCCTCAAGGTAAATTCTGCGAGTTTATGGTAGATTCTATGCGTACACTCACTTCCATAATAACCATGCATACAATCATTTCCACACCCATGATCACACTCACTTCCACACTCATATCCACAATCACTTCTATACCCATGCTCACACTCATTTCCACACCCATGTCCACACTCACTTTTACACCCATGCCCACACTTGCACACCGATGCCCAATGTCCCTTCCTCATCCATTCCCACACTCACTTTCACACCCATGCCCACACTTGCACACCGATGCCCACTGTCACTTCCACACCCGTGCTCACACTCAATTCCACACCCATGCCCACACTCCCATACCCATGTCCACATTTATACACCCATGCATACACTTCCACACCCATACTCACACTCACACACCTATGCACACACTTCCACACCCATGCCCACACTCCTACACCTATGCCTACAATTGCACACTCATGCACACACTCACATCCACACCCACTCCCACACATTTGACGAAAGTGGAAGTAGGTCATGCCCAAGGGTTAGGGAAAGTTGAAGAATTCCTTGTATTATGATCCCAAGATGTTGCTGTGTCAAACAGGAATGTAGATGAATGGTTGAGAGAACCGACAAGGTGATAAATTAGACACATGTGCAATATTTGGGAATCTTTAATGAGGAAACGTTTTGCCACACAGTGGCTTCATCAGTAGCCTTTAATCTAACATAATGATTTCTTAACTGCCCATCCCCTATATATGCCTCTCTTTTGATCAATACCATGTTTTAATCTATTGTTTATCCATTGGGAATTATTTTTGTTAGATCAAATTTCCCTACTCGGAACAAAAGTTGTCTGGGCAGCTAGCACTATGCTCTGAAAAACGTCATATTGGTAACCAACACAACCTACCTGACCGATAGTCAGGTTGTCCCAATTTAGCCCACCCAGGTAATTTCTCAGTCCCATGAAGTTGGCCAAGCGGAAATCTGGGACACAGTCTAGATTGCAGTTATCTGGGTAATTCCATGATATATTGAAACTAAGTGATTTGTGATCGCTTTCCCCAAGCTCATTAACCTCAAGATTATTAACTAGTGATTCTTTGTTGGCAAGAACCATGTAATGTAGATTGTTTCCTCTAGTTGGTTCTGTCACAAACTGTTTTAGAAAGCAATCCTGAACTGTTTCAAGAAAGTCACTAGGTTAAAGATTTCCTGTCACATTGTTCCCACCAATTTATCGAAAGTTGAAACCTCCCATTTACACAACATTTTCATATCTAGATACCTTATGAATTTACTCCCATAGGAGGCTACTGCATTCTCTATCAAGAGTTAAGGGCCTATAAATCACATCAAAAATTTATTTTTCACCATCTTCGAGAGACTGTAGCCAAGCAGATTCTGTATCCAATGTTTCTAATCTCATATCTTGTCGAAAACAACAATTTATATTGTCTCTGACATATATTGCCACTCCACCACCCTTCCTCCTGACCCCATCAGTGTGGAATAGTTTACAACACTGCATGTTGCATTCAGAAGGGATTTCTTTATCTTTCAAGTTGAACCAGGTCTCTGTTCAGCAATAATATCTATATTATATGCATTTGCAAGTAATCTTAGCTCATGTATCTTATTTCTTAGATTCCTACTATTTGTATAGTAAACCTTAAGGGAAGTAGTCATTCGTTGCCCTCTACTATCTCTCCCTGTTTGTTGAGCAATTGCTTAGCTTTTACTAGCAACTTTATTTTGAATATTGTCTTTTAAACGTATCCCTTGGGTATCCTAGTAATATCTGCAGTTTTCAGCCATAGTACTGCAGCCTCGTTGTTTCCCACAAACACCCATACCTATATAATCTCTCAGTTTAAATTGTTAGATAAGTCATCTATGGCTCCCCTCAATCGAACTGGCTAATGCAACCACTCCAACCCCAGAGAGATGAACCCCATCCTTTGCCATAGAATTTGTCCCAGTTATCAATGAATGGGATTGCATGTTCCTTGCAGTACCTGTCTAACCAGCAATTTATACCAATTTATACCATTGCCCACTCCCTTTCTAGGGAAGATGCTACGTATGATTGGGATCCCTCCCTTAGACCTGACTACATCTATGGATGGCCTGTAGTTACCCATCAGCTCCTGTCTTGTGCCCTTCCCAATGTCATTTCCACCAGCAGTCAGATAGATAATGAGCTTGTTCCCATTACCTGACATAATATTGTCCAACCTGCTATGTCAACAACACCAGCTCCTGGGAGGCACACCCTCTGTCTGACCTTCCTATCTCTGTTACAAAAAGCACGGTCCACATATCTTACTGAGAGTCTTCCAAAATTAGAATACTCTTACCTTGATTAGCAAGGGAGTCAATAGTACCGGTAACGTCACTAATCACCGAGAGACACCCATCCTGGAGAAGAGAGAATCGATTTCCTGCATTCACAGCTTCATTATCTTTCTTCTACCTTGTGAACCACTTGCCACATAAAGCGGCTGCAACACTTTAACTCACTGCTGGTATCCTTTTACTCCTTACCAGCACCAACCATCTCTCACACACTCCCAAACCCATCTAGGCGAAACTTCAGCCTTCTATGTTCCACCTGAAGAAGTAGAACCTCTTTTTTCAATATATATATATATATATATCTTCTTTCTTTCAACACACCGGCCGTATCCCACCAAGGCGGGGTGGCCCAAAAGGAAAAACGAAAGTTTCTCCTATTACATTTAGTAATATATACAGGAGAAGGGGTTACTAGCCCCTTGCTCCCGGGATTTTAGTCGCCTCTTACAACACGCATGGCTTACAGAGGAAGAATTCTGTTCCACTTCCCCATGGAGATAACAAGAAATAAACAAGAACAAGAACTAGTAAGAAAATAGAAGAAAACCCAGAGGTTTGTATATATATATGCTTGTACATGTATGTGTAGTGTGACCTATATGTAGTAGCAAGACATACCTGAAATCTTGCATGTTTATGAGACAGAAAAATGGACACCAGCAATCCTACAATCATGTAAAACAATTACAGACTTTCGTTTTACACTCACTTGGCAGGACGGTAGTACCTCCCTGAGCGGTTGCTGTCTACCAACCTACTACCTGCATATATATGTATATATATATATATATATATATATATATATATTATATATATATATATATATATATATATATATATATATATATATATATATATAACATATATACAACAGTTAGGTTTCTTTATTTCGAAACGTTTCGCCTACACAGTAGGCTTCTTCAGTCGAGTACAGAAAAGTTGATAGAAGCATAAGAGACTTGAAGACGATGTAATCAGTCCATCACCCTTGAAGGTTGGAGGTGGTCAGTCCCACAGTCTAGAGAAGAGTATTGTTCCATAGTCTGAAACAAACGTTTCGAAATTAAGATACCTAACTGTTGCATGTGTGTCTTACCTAATAACCTGTCGGTATTTTATGCCATTTAATGTTCATATATATATATATATATATATTATATATATATATATATATATATATATATATATATATATATATATTTATATATATATATATATATATATATATGTCGTGCCGAATATGTAAAACTGGTCAATTAGCAAGAACTTACTTAAAATTAAGTCCTTTCTAAAATTTTCTCTTATACGTTTAAAGATATATTTTTTCATTAATGTTGATGAAAAAATTTATAATTTTGCACCAAAAAAACTTAGAAAATTTACCTAACCTTATTATAACAAGCGCAATTTATTTTAGCCTAACCCAACTAAATATATTTTAGATTTGTTTGCAATAATTTAATACTAAACAAACACAGTGAAATATTTTTTTCGTTTGGTTCAGAATGATTTTGACGAAATTATTGCATACACAAATTTTCACTTGTCTTATATGGCAAGATGAGCGTTGCTATTTAAGCCAAGATCGCAAGTTCTGCATATTCGGCACGACATATATATATATATATATATATTATATATATATATATATATATATATATATATATATAATATATATATAATATATATTATAATATATATATATATATATATATATATATATATATACGCATGCAATCTCACTGGTAAACCGGACATTCCAAAAAGAAAGTGAAGAACCGAAATAAAGACAAGACAAATCTCACAAAGGAATAGTGTGTCGCTCCATGAGATTCCCTGAATCTGGATGATCATGCACTGATGACTGGACAGCAGCGTCGGCCTGTTCACTGCCCCACACATCAACATGTCCACTGATCCAACAGAAAACCATGTCCTTGTTTTTGCTAGCTTCACGAAACAACCAAAGTTGAATATAAAGGATCAATTAATTAGGGAAATCAAGTTGTTTATGGCCTGTAAAGCACTTAGGGAATCTGAAATGATCACAAATCCTGAAAGAGACATAAATGTAATATGGAGAAGCATTATGAAGATGGCATACAACTTGGCTGTAAAAGTATTAGCTGAGTCCAACAAATGACCCCGGACAGCATCGTCAAGGAATACCTCCATGAACCCAATACAATCAGAAGATTTAGAACCATTTGTATAAACAACGACGGCACAAGCATGCGACCGGAAGTGATCAAGAAAAAGAGAGTGAGAAGCAGCCATAGGTAGGAGAGTTTTAGCGCATGGCAGTAGGGGAGAAGAGACACAAACCGTCGGAACCTCCCAAGGGGAAAGAGAAAATGCAGACGCTACATTTACATACAAGGTAGGCAACTGGAGAGAAGACCGGAGTGAGTGAAGACAAAGAGAAAACAAACGGAGTAAGCACGGTCACCGTTCAAATAACGGGCTTCTACTAACGTCTAAGAGCAACTTATATGTAGAAGGAACACAAATGTAATGAGAGTGGACAAAGTAACGAAGGTAATGAGCATCACTACAATCGGCTAAGGAAAGAAGATTCGTCTCATTGGCTTTCAACAGGGATTCAACGAAAGGCACCAAGGCATAAATGTCCACCCAGATGATGAAGGGGATCTAACTTA